GCACCACGTGGTGGAGAGCGGGCTCTCAGCAAGCCCACCTGCCTCCCTCTCGCCATTCTAGCTCACGCTTCAGGCTCCAGATGCTTGCATTCCCCCGCTAGCCCTACCCTTCACCACCGACCCGCACTGTCCACAACTCCTTGTCACTCTTCCCCTCTGCCAGATGAAAAAAGCCCACCTTTACTTGTTTAGCCAAATCATAGTCATGATTTAAGGCTCAGTGCAATCGCGATTTACAAACAGCCCTCCCTAGATCCCAGGTTGGGAGCATTTAAGCGGTCTTGGCAATAAAATGTGACCAAAAACATTAGTGACCTTGAAAAAGAAACTCTATTTCTTCATCTATAAATGGGTTATCTACTTTATAGGGTCGTGATGATTAAATGACCTCATAAACAGAGTGCTCAGTGTCTTCTATCATTTGCAAGCGCTCTATTTAAACTATCTTGGTTTAACCATTAGTCCCTTATGCCTCCGTCTGTTTTACTAGAGTCACAATAAAAGAGCCTCCCGCAAGAGTGAAAACTGCCACTTATTCATCTTGTACCCGCAATGCCTAGCATCTAACAGGCAATCAAAAACTGTTTGGTGACCTGAGGTAACTCTCTGGTCTGAGGCAAGAGCAGAGAAGGCATGTGCGAATTAGAGAGCCCACTCACTCATCTACGAATTCACAGTCGGGCTCAATCATCCACATCGAGCCCTCCCGGGATCCGAAGCCCCTCCTCTAGCTGCTCTCCAACCGGCAAGGCTCCCAGCACACCTGGATATCTAATCACCAGCTCGCAGGTCAGACGGGCACTCAGAAGCAGTCAGTCAGAAAGATGGAGAAAAGACAGTTTTTTGTGACAGTGACACGTGCAATGACAGGAGTGACAGAGAGAAGGCAAAAAAATGAACGGAACGCAGCCCCGGGAATCTGGCACGTGGTGAAGACTCTGACCCCCTGAGCCTAACTTACCGTGTGCGTAAGGGTCAAGAGCCGTCATCTCACAGGGAAGCACAGAGGGGTGACGTCCTGACTCACAAGTGCTTACCAATTTTTTATTTAACAAAATACAATAATTTCAGTAAAAATATTTTTTTCTTTTATTTACGTCAAGTGAAATAGAAATATTCAATTGGGGGACAGGATTACTTTGACTATGCTTACACAAACTGAGTTATGGATTCTACACGTGATTGCTGTCAGCTCTACTTGGAAAGAGCTAGAGATCTGACTTTATATCTTCAGTTATTTAAATTCTGAATTGGTAACAACATATTTATTATTTTGTTCCTTGTATGACTCAACAAAAACACTGTTTCTTTTTTAACTTGGCAAAGTAGAGACATTAAGAAATCCTACTTCTTTTTATTAACATATAGCAAAAGTAATGAGATTTTCCTAGGAGGCATTTATTCTTTTAAACAAGTAAACCAAATATAATTTCAAGCACTACTGTTTTATTTAACATTTCTAACATTACCAATTGGCACTTGTACAACAGAATTAACCTTTAAAGTAAAAATAATTCATTGAATCATAAAAGATCAGCAGCCAAAAGTTAAAAGTGAACGACTAACTTTTACAGATAAATGTTCTGGCCAAGAAAATTTAAGTTAATTTAAGAAGCAACTGATAAAACAGTCTTCACACTTCTAAGGAAAAACTCACTTGTTGAAAACCTTCAATATGTGAAAATCTTCTAAAAGTACTAAAAAAATAGTGTGATAACCTAAAGGACTAAAGACAAACTAAGATTAAGAATCATGATGTCTATTTTATTGATGAGGAAATTGAAGGACTTGACACAATATTTCATATCTATTGTAAAATATTTGTTTCTCTTCTCAATAAAATTGTGTTACTAAAAAAAGTAACACACGTCGGTACTGGTATTGAGTAAACATCAGTATTTCGGGGTTTTTTGATGTTCTAACCTCTATTCACAAGGATTTCTGGCAGCCTATAACAAAATTTAATAAAACACAGATAAACCTAGGTCAAAACAACATAAAAAGAAAAAAACTTTGGTAACCATGAGAATCGATATATATTTTTATGACTAAGTAAACTTTGCTTCCACTTCTCTGACATGCAAGCAAAAAAAAAAAAAAGAGAGCGAGAGAGAGAAATTACCAATTCACATTAAAAGAAAAGGTAGCACACAAGTTCTTCAAGGAAAGCAAGCTTAATCAGAGGCCAATTTTTAAAGATATAAAATGACATATGATTTATGATATATTTAAATGTAAAGAAAGGATATGCTTTATAATTACATGAGGACATACTCTGGCAGTTCACAGATCTCTTAAATATTATGTTGTAATATAACATTCGTTATATTATAAGGCTCTTGTACATGTGTCAATTATACAAAATGTTACTTATCAAAACACTTCTTTCAAAAAAATAAAATGCTATATTTCCAAAAACATCTTCGCTACTGAAAAACTAATAGCAAAGAACAAGGCATCCTGCAATAAAATAACTACTAATAAACACAACATAGCTATATCTGAAAATAATCATACTGAAAGAAAAAAATAAGACCAAAAAAGCATAGAAACAATGAGTTCATTCATATGAAATTCTAGAAAATGCAAACTAATGTATATCATGGTGTAACCATATACCAAAATGTATCAACTTTAAAAAACATTTGCAGCTTATTATGTCAATTATACGTCAATAAAGCCATTAACACCCACATAAATATATTCAAACACACATACACGAATAAACAATAAGAAATGGGCAAAATCTATATGAGAAAAATATTCCAGAAAGACAAAAATGTAGATTCAAGAAATGGAAAGGTAAAGCACACATTTTTCACAAGTTATAAAGTATCTTTCTATCTATGATTCCGAATCTAGAACCAAGTTTTAAAAAAGAAAGTGTTAAGTCCGGTTACATAAAAATAAATGAATAAAAGCTTTTGCTTGGCTAAAATATCATTAAGAGAGTAAAAAACAAATGAAACTAAAGGGGGGGGTGGGAATTGCAACTTGTTTCAGAAAAGCCAACATCCTTAATACATAAAGAGCTCTTAAAAATAAAAAAGAAATAAATAAATATCGAAAGACCAATTAATGACACAAGAAAAAATGGATAAAGGCTTGGACTGTTTACAGAAATATAAATTAAAATGACCCTCAAAGTTACAAAAAAATGTTCAACTTTTCTCGCTGAAAAGTGCAAATTAATACTATACACTGACATACCGTATCTTTTACCAGAATGGCAAAAATCTGAGGTTTGACTATAAACCTGCTGCTGACTGTAGGTGAAACCACATTCTAATAAACTGCTGGTGAGTGACTGAAATAGTTACAGTTATGTAGGAGAGTATGAAAATATCTACATTAAAAATACTTACATTTTGATACAGCAATCCCACTTTTAAAAATATACCCTAGAGACACTTGTACAAGTATGCAATGATTTATGCACATTTTTCATTTCACATAATTTATATTTACAGTTATGTCCATCAGTAAGACTGGGTGAATGAACGTACAACGAAACACTTCCAGCCTATAAAAAAGAGGGAGAGACACCCCCCACCCCACCCCCCAACAGGGACACAGAATAATCTCCATACCTCTGTTTCCATGCATACGGGATGCATTTTTAAGTTGTAAAAAGAAGTGTAAAACTGTATATGATATGCCACCTTTTATGTAAGATGTGGGAGAGGGAATAAGTATCTATGCACTTATTTGCTTACATTTGCAAAAAACTAAAATAAAAATGGAAAAAAGAATGGTAGGGAGACATCTCTCAGTTTTATGAAGCAAAGACAATTCTCCAAAGTGAAAACAAACCGAAACAAATTTCTCTGGAGAAATAGCCTCTTCCAAACTATACAAAATAAGACTGGGACATACTGTGTCTAAAAGAAAGCAAGCTTTCAAAAACTAATGAGACAATGATGCCAGCCTGAAAACACCAAAATAAGGTAACACGTGATGCTGTGACCTGTATCCCAAGGAAAACACGGATTCTCACCATGTCTATAGCAAAAAGGCTGTTGTCATCCCAGATATCCGTCGAAATTGCTTCACCAATAAGGATCATAGCCTCTGCCAGCAATTCCAGAACTCTTATTATCATCTGTCTACTGCCTAGGAGAGCAAACAGGAGAGAAACAAGGAAAAAAGTTAACTTCCAAATAAATCTGAATATCATACTGCTCACTCCCCTAGTGAGTCATGCCTCCAAATTCCTATTCCTATTTCTCTCCTAATTTTTTTTGGATGTTTTTAGAATTGTTGAAACGGATGACTAGGGAAGTCACATCCACGACTACATTAAAGACTTCTGATCACAACACTATTTAACCACAGCAAATGAAATGGGCTCGGCAGTGGACAGATGCTCAAGGAAAGAGCAGCAGTGATCTCAGGAAGACGGAGCAGGTTAAAATAACTTTTCGCATTCAGAGACCACCCACGTCGCATGCAACATGTGACAAAGCGCCAGGTCAGTGAGAAAATGCATCCTCAGAATTTCCTATTTAGTACTAGAAGGCTTAAATCTCATCATAAACTCATATTTTCCCACATGTTGCCTGGGAAGCTGAGCTCGGACTGGAGCAACGGAAGTATAAATATCCATGCTGGCGTCTGTTGAGAAAACGTAGAGAAACTCCACCTGAGACAGGTGCTCAGGCCGATATTCACCTGAAACTCTAACAAAATTCCAAAAGACACTGTGCTGTCGGGGTCGCACCCACCAGGGCAATCCCCTTCTCCACAAAGACAACTCTAAGTGAAGTGGACATTCGCTCGAGACCTCCCTGTCCCACATCCCCAAGCTCGATTTCTCGTAACAGTAAAACAAACTACCAGACCACAAGGGTCTAGATTAACTGTTTCATTAGAGCAGCTGGAGAAAGTTCTTTTGGAAATGTCTTATGATATGGAACAATTACAAATTACACAATAATTTCCCACAAAAGGGCAAGAGAACATTTAGAAATTTTTATGTACCAAGATACAGCTTTATAATTATCAATCTGACTTTTTACAGCAAATTAAGAAAAGGTTAGATGCAAAATCATTAACTCGGAAACTGTTCTCAGTATGCCATGCAGACAAACACATATACTTCATGATGCCAAAGTCCAGACTTTCCTCCACCATGTTTTCAGGATGTGAGTAAACATACTCCTCACTCCCGGAAGCGGAGTTAGTGAGAAGTCAGGGTTCAGAGTTTTCCTCGGAATAAAAAATGTTAATGCTTCTCAAATAAACACCTACCTCCTGCTTTGCTCCCCATCGCCCTCAAGCAGGCAAAAAATAGCCACAGGACTTAGAGAACTATTAGTATGCAATACATTTTTTACTCTGCTAGTATAAACAAAAAAAGGCAAAAATCATTTATCTTGTATTTATATCTTTACAAGTTTACCAACTACTGAAAATGTATAAACTTAGAGAATAAAAACCATTATTGCTTCGAAATCTTTCTTTACTTTCAAATGCTACGTGCTTAAGAGGGTAGAATTGGGCTTCGGAAGAATCTGGGCTCGAGGGTCTGTTAGCTGTGTGCCTTGCGGCAGCTGTAAGCCACTCTGAAACTCGGCTTCCTCCTGTGAGACAGGGGAACAGAAGCAGCCACTCTCACTGATGGAGGATACAGCAGGCTGACGTGGGGAACGCAGAAAAACAGCGCACAAGACAGCAAGCTCCGCAGCCAGGCGCAGGCCAGGGACGCCTGGTCCCCGGACAGTGCGACACCGCCACACTGTCCCCATTCTCAGCACTCCTGACTGACGTTACGACTGCATCCCAGTGTGCACTGCAGCACGCCTTTGCAACTTTACCTAGTACGCTTGAAAGAAAACGTAAAACGTTTGAGTTTTTTGAGTTTTGTTGTTTGTTTGTTGTTGTCTGTTTGCAAAGGTAAGAACCCTGTGGTGGGTTTACTTCTAACATGTTTCGTAGCTTAAGTAACAGCCGAGCAGGAAGGACGAGCAGCTGAGAGCGACTCAAACAGTTTCTAAAGAGCAAAAGCCAGCTGTTCCTCCGGGTCGGCTCCCGCCCGTCCACCTTCTCTAACTCACTCGATCGCACTGACGTTTCAGTGCGTACGTTTAAAACGGCCACGGAGACGTGAAGTGGGTGCGTGAGAAGCCATAAATGGAAGGGGACACTCACCTGAACGGTGCTCCGTGGCAGCCGCACTTAATTAAGGGATAACGAGACTGCCTAAGTTCTTAGGAACTTTTACCCCAGAAGATGAGTAAATACAGACTGTAACGGTCCTAACACAGAAAGTGAAAAAAAGAACACGGACCGAACGAGGTACATGACACCCGGGACTTCAGGAGCCACCGACCTGCTCGTAAGAGTGGAAGCGCTGAGTCCAGGACAGAGAGGCAGAACTGCGGGAGGCTGAGCTGCTGGGGCTGCAGGTCCAGGCTGTCTTCGCTTTCCAGCTCTCGCAGATCGATGTGCGCCATGTCCAGGGGTGAAGGGACAGAAAGCCTGGAGTCCACGTGAGCGCGACTACTGCTTCCGCTGTCAAATAAACAATGACGGCCCTTGAGTAAGGAAGCAGACCCAGCACACGGCTGCTGCCGGGCGTCCGTGAAGCCGCACGTTGGACAGACCACGCTGCTTCGTGTAACGGCGCTGGTCGGATTTGTCGAAACCCTAACAAATCTATGAGGTTAAAACCAAAAAGATGGCACAAAATTATAGATGAAACCAAAAATCTACTTATATTTTGCTTTTCGAACTGATGTTCTCGAACCGTGTCAGCATTCCTACAGGAGCGGCAGACGTTAGCGCCGACAACCCGACCGCCTTAAAGGAAAGCAAGCAGGTTCGCCGCCAATTCTCCCGTAATCAACTCACAAAGGCAAAACTACGTGGCTCATAGAGTCGCCCAGATTTTCTGCGACTTTCACCAAATGTTCTAAGTAAGGCGATATTAACAATTGAACATGCTAGAAAATGCCAGAAAAGGCATGAGAAATGGCGTACTTTATTAGTATATCCAAATCACACAATGACTTTGAAAATACACTAAAAAATGGAACATCTCACCTTTCTCCGTTTTTCATTAAAAAAAAAAAAAATCTTACCTTGGGTGTAGAGCTG